TAAAAATCCATCACTGTATTATTCTTTTTATTTGGTACCGGGTATCAAACTTGGGACTTTGTGCTTGGGAGGCAGGCGGCAGAACTACTGAGCTAAATCGCCGGCCCCATCACTGTATTATTCTTATTAATTTTTTTGAGATCAGAATACTCCCAGCTTTGGCCAGTGGCAGCCCCTTTGAAGTAGTTCATGTGTCCTTTTGACATGACCCTTCCCAGGAGACAGTTGGGAAGTAACCGTGTGTATAGTGAGCATGCATGTATGTACACACACGCTCCTCTATATCTACTCTGTATTTATCTGATACCTGTCATCGAAGACAGCTCTTTCAGGGGATTACTTTTTGTACATGGAAATCCTTCTCTGACTGTGAGAACCTGGCTCCTATTATCTTTGATATGGTTATTATTATTGTTTGGGCAATTTCTTCCTGTAGGTAATGATTTCCTGAAGACCCTGATCTTCTCTCTATGCCACTGCCTCTCCTGCCTGTTCCTTTCTACCCTCGAGGCTAATCTTCTAAGGGAAGGGAAAGGACGTGGATCCCAGTGGCTTTCCACCCAAACCATCAGGGAGAGAGGGAAGAAGAAGAAGAAGCTTGTTTTGTTTGTGGTGCTGGGAATGGAACCCAGGACCTCTTGCATGCTAGGCACATTCTCGACCACCGGGCTCTGCCCTCAGCCTGAGAAACTTTTTTTCCTGGAAAGCTCTTTGCTCGCATAGCCTATTAAAGCTCTTCATTTGCTTCAGCTATTCACATAAACGTCCCACATTGCTCTGGCCTGGAATAAGCCTGTGTTTCTATGGGAGTTTGTTTCTCTGTTACCACCTGCTATGGTCTGAATGTTTGTGTCCCCTACAAATTCGTGTGTTAAAACCTTAACTCCCAAAATGATAATATTAGGAGGGAAGGCCTTTGGAAAGTGATTAGGCAGGGGGTGGAACTCTCAGAAACAGGATCAGTGCCATATAAAAGGCGCCTTCCACCAGGTGAGGATGACTGAGAAGGTGCCACCGTCCAGCCAGAAGCTGGCCCTCACCAGATCCAAATCAGCTGGGACCTTGATCTTGGACTTCTCAGTTTCCAGGGAAGTAAATGGCTGTTGTTTGTAACCCACCCGGTGTCTGGGATTTTGTTGTAGCAACGTTAATGGACTAACACACCACCCTTTGCAATCTTCCTTTAGACCTCGAGCTCGCCTTGGTCGCCATTATCCTGTGAGGCCTGGAGAGTGTGGTCCTGTGTAATTCATGCTGGCGCCTGGGAGCTTGCTGGGGCATCTGTGTGTGTGTAGAGACAAAGGTGTTGCCTTTTAGATTCAAACTCGAGTGTCTTCCTCTGAACTGAGCCCTCTCTGCCTGGGTTTCCGCAGTGATGACTCATGGCTGTGTGCAGAAGCACTTGTTGATATAAGCTTCCCTCCCTGACATTCCAGTGGCAAATCAACCCTTTGCTGGCCTGACCAAGTTTACAGTGGGCTGGCCTGGCAGCTGGCGGCAGCAGCTGGTGGTTGAGATCTCTGCCTGATATTTCTTCCCTCTGAATAATATCAGTCGCCTTCTTTGCCATCATTAATAGAATTTGAAGCCTTTTATAGCCTCTGCCAGTTGGTCTGAGAAGAGCTGTATTAGAAGAGTCCCTCCATATTCCCCATCGTTAGGCTGTCTCCCATCCTTAGACCTCTGAAAGGATCACTAGAAAAGTCTCAGAGCTGATAGCTCAATGTGAGTTTGACATATTTAAATGTTATATATTTACCAATTCCCTCTAGTTCGACTTGTTGTATATGTATATACAAACATACATGTATATTTTTCAGTTGTAGTTATTTTGTAACTTTTTTTTTTTGGTACCAGGGATCGAACTCAGGTCCTTGCGCTTGTGCAGCAGGCGATGAAACCACTGAGCTAAATCCCTAGCCCTGTAGTTATTTTGTGTAGGAAGTTGACAGACCTTTAATCAAAGCTTATGAACTCTTGATGGACACCATATTCTTAGTCTGTGGAATAGCAGAAACAGAAGAGGAAGGCATAGGCAGCAAGAAGGGGGAGGTGAGTTGATAAGCACAAGGCACAGCTGCCAGCCTGAGTGTGAGGGACAAGACTGACCCAGAGTCCTTGGTGATCATGCAGCTCGGCGCCTTCACTTTCACGAATGGAAAAGCTGAAGCTGAGAGAAGTCACCTGGCTGAGATCCCAAGGCGGGGGTGCGCTGGAATCAGCTTTCTTTGCTTCATATACAATTGTTTTTCAGTACTATAGCATACTTCCTCACTTATATCATAGGTGGTCAGGATGTCAATCAAATGTCATTGAAAAACTATTTAATTATGTACAAGAGTCCCCATTCAAAAAAATATAATACGCTTTGCAAAATAATTCCACCCCACAGAATATGTTGGCCAGTATTTGTCTTCCAAAACAATTCTCTATTGGGACCTTCATTTCCCTCAGCGATGCCTGAGTAAATGAGGTGTGGGTGTGTTCCTGCCTTGGAATGAGACTGGCGAATCCGGGCATCACGCAACAGTGCAAGTACGGAAGGGAGGAAAGACACCATTTGTGGGTTGTCTCCACCTTGTAAGGCTTTCACTGAGTTATGAATTGAAGTTGTTCCTGACCCTTAAACTTTTTCTTAAATAGGTTTTCTTACTTATTGTGATTATAAAGATAGTTTCTCTTAGCACTTTTGTGTATTTCCTGCATTTCTTGTTAGCTCATTTAATCTGTTGCTTGCTTTCTGTGACTGTGTATTTATAGAAACATATATTGGTACACACAAACAAAATCTGAGCTTGCTGCCAATAGTTTTAACCCATTTCCAGCTAATAATGAACATGTTTACATCTAGATGCATAAAGATCTACTTTCTTTTTTGAAAACTGTGTCAAACAAATCTGTTCTCTGGCTCTTATTTGACCAACTGTCCCCTACTGCTGCCATTTTTGGTTCCCCCACCCTTTATCATCTCCTTAAAATAAACTCTTGAAAGTACAGGGCTGGGTCAGGGGAAATAAAGTCTCCTCTGTCTTTCAAGTTGTCTTGCCAAAATTCCTGAGTTGTTTTTCCACTCTGACTTTCTGATGTTGGAAAGTCGATTTTGCCTGAGGTTAGAATTCTCTGAATTGTGATCCACCAAAGACATCTGAGTCCTTGCCATCCTCCCTCCTCCAGGCTGGGCTCTCCCTTCATTTGTCCGTGCGTGCGCCGATTTCTGACTGCTTGGGTGTGGCCACAGGGTTTCAGATCTGATCCTGTGGGACTGAGAATGGGGTGGGAACCATGAAGAATCAGTAGAGGTGTGTGGGTCCCAGACTGGGCTAGTTCAGTTCTATTTAGAGTACAGTTTTGGGAATTACCCTGGACATCCCCATTTTCATTCATCTCTATGCCAAGAGCAGTGGTTTGTGGCTGAACATTTGCTAGAAGCTTTGAGCTGATCCTTTGGCTTAGGACCAAGTCCCAGTTCCTCCACCTGGTCCTGTGATCTGGCTCCTGTCCACCTCTCCTCTTTGTAGTCCTCCCTTCTTTATCTACACTCTAATGATATTGACCTTTTGATGCTCTTGTGTAATGCCAAGTTCCTTCCTGATCAGGGCTTTCAAACACACAGTGGCTCTTGGTGATGACAAATGTAACTTCTGGAATGGGGCTTGGGTTTGTATCCTCATTCTACACTTAGTGGCTGTACTGTGCTTCTCTGTGCTTTAGTTATTAAGTGAGGATGCTAATAGTTCCCATTGCATAGGATTGTTTGAGGACCAAATATGGCAATGTATATGTAAATATGCTTAGACGATATCCTTGCACACACTACGCATCAGTAAACACCTGCCCTCCCATACCTGGCCAGCTAACCTCTGTTTACTCCCCACTCACAAGGAAGTTTTCTTTGATTCCGACTCTGGGCCAGGAACTCCTGGTATAAGCTGTCATGGCCGTCTTAGCAATTAGTACCATTGTTGCCAAATAACCATTTAAAAAAAATGTTTGCCTCTTGCCTGAGACTACAGGGTCCATGCGGGCCCACCTCTCCCTTGCTCATAATATAGGGCAAGTATTCAGTAAATGCAGAGGCCCAAGGAACGAAGATCATGATCTCATTACTTATGGCTACAAGCAGAGTTGCCATGGCACCCACCAGAAAGACAGTTATGCCTGTGTCTCAGGCCTTTTGGAAACTCTCTGCCCTTGGGAATTTCCCAGGACAGGTTTTCTCAGTCAGTGGAAGACCAATGCAGTCTTTAAAGTTCTAACTTGTTGGATATCAAAACATTTGAGGGGTCTGGGCATTTAGTTCAGTGGTTCCGGCGCCTGCCTCGCAAGCCGAAGTTCCTGAGTTTGATCCCCGGCACAAAAAAAACAAAAAACAAAAAAACATTTGAGGGCTGGGGATTTAGCTTGGTGGCACAAGGTCCTGAGTTTGATCCCCAGTACCCCCCCCCCCAAAATTGAAAATACGATTAGATAAATTACTAGGAAAATGAAATAAAACTTGAGTCCAGGGTTTCTTGGTGCCAACACTATTGACATCTGGGGCAAATAATCCTTTGCCACAGGGCCTGTCATGTGTACTGTAGGACATTAGCAGCAGCCTTAGCCTCAGTCCTCCCGCCAACCCCAGGGGTGACAGCCAAAAATGGCTCCAGACACTGTGGGTGTCCCCTGATTGAGAGCCACTGAAGGCCTACAAAACATAAGCCGTGACTTTTTGTTTTTGTTTTTGTTTTTAGATTCAACAGACATAACATTATTCTCTCAAATTACTCTAAAGGTTTCTAAACTCTTCTCCTAGTTTCTATACTTACCTTGTCATGGGCCAGTGACAGACTTCTCCTGGACCAGCATCATCCGTGGTTCCTGCTGTGAGCAGCTCAGAGGCTTCCATCACAGAAAGGGAAATGGAGGTCCTGCTGAGGACTAGATAAAATGTGCTGTTAAAACACATTTGCAGCTTCCAGAAACATTTCTGAACATTGAGTTTTTTCTTCTCTTCCCAGCTCACCTGTAACTGATGATGTCATCCAGCCGGCTGCCTCCACAGACTTGGGAAACCCACCCTTAGCTACCTCCTCCCACCACAGTGATGCTGTTGGCCAGGTCCCTACAGATCTGACAGCCCAGAGGTACATGGGGGCTGGGGCTGTTGGTGGTGCTCCAGGGCCCAGTCCTGAAGCTGTTCTCTTCCCTCATCTCTTCTCATTCGGTTTTTCTCCCACTCCCACACAGGGACTGTGCTCTGTTCCCCCACAAATGTGTGCCAGGGCTCAGCCTCTTTCTGTGGCCTTAGGAATGATCTGCGGTGTCACAGGACAGGACACCACCCCCTTCCCACAAGGGCCATGTTGGAGATTTATTCCCTTGCAACCTGTAAGCAGAAATTCTCCAGGACAAAGTGTGTGTTTCTGCTGTTCCAGGGATGGTTTAGTGAGCTACCTGATTGCCTCCTGGGACACGAGCTGGGTCGGCTGCTTGTTCTCATTTGGCTTTCAGTGGGAGTCAGAGAAAAGAGGAGTCAGCAGTGCACCAGCAGAGAATTCAGGTTTCCGGGCCATGGCTGGGCACAGAGGCCTGAGGTCCCAACTCTGCTCTTCTACAGGGTCTACTCCTTCCCCCAGCATTATTTCCTTCGTCCCTCACACCATGGCAACCCCATGCTGATCATGGTTCTTTATCAGCACTGTACTGCGCCTGGATTCACCTTCATCTCATCCTTCACAAGCAGCCTTTGCACTTAGACCAGGCTTGCTCAGAATCAGCTCAGGAGCCTGTGTACAAGGGATGGTCAAAATACACTGTGAATGTTTACATTAAATTTATTACAGTAAAGAGCACATTGCCACTAATCTTCCTCACAATATTCCCCCCTCTCTATAGGCTCCATGAGAGCCCACCTCTCTCTTGCTTATATAATGTAGCATAGGTATTTGGTTAATGCAGTAAATGAACATCTTTACAAGGTGTGATAGGGCTGGGGATTTAGCTCAGTGGTTCCGGTGCCTGCCTTGCAAGCGCAAGGTCCCGAGTTCGATCCCCGGTACTAAAAAAACAAACAAACAAAAAGAACTATTTCAGAAAGTGGCAAGAACAAAGCTAGGGGAGGTATTTTGAGGGGGAATAATAGCAATGTATCTTTTATTGTAAAAAAACAACACAACATTCACCATGTTTTTTGATCACACAGCCTGCATGTGTGTGTACACACATTCACACGTGCGCACACACACACACACACACACTTATGTCTAACTTTATACAGACACACATCCAGTACATGTTTATGTCTACATGTGGGTCTTTCTCTGTATAAACATGTACATACACAGTTTATACTGATGCCAGTAAAAATGGCTGCATTTTGCCAGATCTTGCATGGCACTGAGGAAGCCCTGGTGAGCAGGACAGACCCTGTCCCCTCCTTCCTGTAGCATCCCCTTTTCTAGGAGTCTCCCCAAGCTGAGAGGAGCCTCTATCTGAGCTTTGCAGCTGCCCATGCCCCAGTGTCACTGCCCTTCCCAGACACCTTTAAATTACTTACATCCAACTCCGTCTCCTTCTCAGGGGGAAGAACTGCTCCCCTGTAACCTCTGATACCTCAGCATCTAGCCTGGCCCGGGGCAGGATAATGTTGTAACTTGAAGGGATTAGAGGGGACCCAGGAAGTGTCTCCTTGTTTGGCTGCCTGGAGCAGGTGTGTGGTGACCCTCTACCTGGTTGTCTTCTGACCTGCAGGGGAGTCTAATGTTCTTACTCAGTGTCATAGCCTCATGAGAGTGTTGCCAAACTCAGAATCCAAGCTTAACACTTGCAGATGGTGAAGGTACAGGGAAATTAGATTGACTTAGAGCTTCTGGTCTTTTTGGTCCCAAATCATATGGGAATTTTGTTTTTATCTGTTTGCACAATAAATTCTTTTTGTCTTTGAGCTATAGGTAGGCATAAGTGGGTTCAGCTACCTCTCAAAAGTTATTGGACCCTTATTTAAGCAGACAATTAAAAATTGAATCATAAAGTAGAAACATTATTATTATTCTTTTTTAATTTAGAAAAGGGATCGCCCAATTCTGACTGACAGAATTCCTTTTTCCAGGAATCAAACTCAGGGCCTTGCGCTTGCCAGGCAAACGCTGTGCCACTGAGCTATGTCCCCAGCCCTACAGAATTCCTTTGTACCATTTAAAAGCTATATTGATGTTCTTGAGTTGAATCTATGAGCCAGTGCCTGGTGTGCTGAGTAAATGGGATACCCCTGTATATTTGCCAGAACCTTTGATTTCTAGTGTCCATCTAGCTACTGTTGGGCTGAACCACATGAATTGCCCCATTGGCAATTGTCAGATATTGACAATTTTGTATGGTTCAAACTAACAGAAGACCTTTTTTTTTAATGATTCTTGAGCTGCTTTATATGTAGGCAGATTTTGGCTTTGTGAATATATAGTTAAGTCTTGGGTGTCTGAGATCAACTCTCTGTGTCTCATACCCTTTGTATCCTCTTTAACAGTGGTCTGTCCCTGGGATGCACCTGGACCAAAAGTCCATGGAGCTCCTAGTGATGATGGTCGATATTTATGATTGGGATGTTCCAATCCAGATCTTCTTCTTTAGTTTTGAGATAGTGTTGATAACTTTTTCCCTAGTTAGTATTTTCATTCCAGCTTAAGTTCTGCTTGAGCCAAGTTTAAAAACAACTTCTCTCCTCCAGGCACAGACACCTTTTGAAGGGAAGGGAGACAAAAAGTTCCCAGGGAAGACTGACTAGCCAGTTCAGGGTTAATAGTGCAGGGACCCCCCCACACACACACTCACACTAGAAACCTTCAGGTCAGCATGTTTGGACCTGTTCACGTTCTCATAGGACCTGGCTGGTGTTCACATGCTGCTGGAGCTCTCTGCAAACTGGCAGTGTCTGGATGTGCCTGACTGGGAGTTTCCAGCCTGTTTGCAAGCCTCTTTCAACACCTTCTTTATGTAGTGTTCTGGTGGCCACGGCTCATAAATACTTGTCCTGTCTCCCGGTACTGAGACTTGTTTTACTGAAGTTCAGGCTTCCATCAAACTGCTTGGTCCCTGTTCTCCAAACCAGCAATTTCAGGGCAGTTTCCTTTTTCCAGCCTGCTGTTCAGCTTTGGGCAGTGTCTCTGGCCTTTCACTTGCCCTGTTATGTGATCATGTGCAAGTGGGGATGGAAGAAGAAAAAATCAGGAGGCCTATGAGGAAGGGCTGTTGTGCTAAATGCTTTCCAGATGGGGGTATGAAATAGGAGATAAGATGCTGCCTCCCATCTGGCCCGACAGGACGTGATATGTTCAGCTTGCACCTCGGGGGCCGTTATCACCCTCCCGTGACAGCCTGGGCCACTCCAGTGTCTGTCCATGGACAGGGCTTAATTTGGCAACTCCATCTGGTCTTTGAAATCACATGTGCTGTTAGTTCATTGAGAACCCTGCCAGGAAGGACTCAGAAGCCCTGAACAGAGAGTCAAAGGACACCCGTGGCTTACAGTGCCTTCCCATAGCTGGACTTGTATGGCATCTAGGCTGAAGGCAAGTCCTGGAGTGACTCTCTGTTGTGTGTGGGTACAGACTGTGACTCAGTGGAGTGACTGGTGGGGCCAGTTGTTTGTGAGGACCTTGGCAAGGCACCAAATCAGGGATGGCAAATGGATCCACTGGTAGTGGCTCCCCAGGGATCTGTGTAGAGAAGGATTCTGGGTCTGTGCAGCAAAGCCTAACAGGAAGGACTGCCATGATTGATAAGTCATGTCTGTTTGTCCAAAGTGTGGTGTTTTAGGTTCACTGTCCACTCTGTCCTAAAAAAAGGAAAAGAAGCTTAAGTTAACATTTCCTTAACCTTCCGAAAATATAAACACTCTACATGAATTTGAATTCAGCATCTTTCTTATTATAATAAGGATTGGAAAACTTTGATTAACACCTTCTATGAGAAAAGAGATCTGGACACTTACAATTAGAAGGGCTTTGCACACCCAGCCCAGTTTCAGACAGCATGATGGCTCCTGGAGGTGACAGGAGAATGCAGCGTGAGGAGCCCGCCTCAGTGCTCCGCTTTCTCTGTGCCAGATTTGGCAGCTGTCAGGTAGGTCCTCCCGTGGGCTGGAGATGGTACTGTGTATTGTCTTTAAGATGTGAAGGACCTGCTGTCCTGGGAACAGTGTCTTTAAAACAGTCACTGTTGATCACAGGAGACTCGGGCAGAGATGGAATTGCCCAAAGGTGTTGATAAGGAGCCTTTACTGCCTTCCTGTCACTTTTGGAGCAGATGTGCCTTGCACAATTGAAGGGGAGGAAGGGGGACCTTATTTAACTTCTCCTCGGGTCCAGGTCCAGGGTTGGCTTCCTGAGTGTGTGGCTTGGGCAGCCACCAACCATGCCACACTGAGAAGTACCCTGCACCCTGGTTCAATTCTCTGCTAGTTCTTCTTTGGAGTTGTAGAGACTTTTAGAATATGGGCCCTGTGGTTTCCCTTTGCTTTCATCTGTATTCCGTTTTGCTGGCAAATTATGTTGCTGGTCTTGCTCTACTTAGGCTCTGGCATGCCCAGGACATAGGACAATTGTCCACTGCCAGTGGCCTGCAAGTTTGGGGGCCAAGGGGTGGAAGGGAAGGGCCTGACTCTGTGGAGGACATCCACATGTGCCAGCTCCGTGCCAGGGCCTGGAGACCCACAGTAGCTGAGCCACATGGCTGCTCTCAGCTTGTGACCTAAAAGGGAGTAGGACATATTCGTGGGAAAAGTGGGATGCTCAGAAGTTGGGGGTCTAGCTCAGGTGGGTACTGTTACCTGCTTTGGCCGAGGGAGACAGGGTCCCCCTGCCTGAGCAAAGGCACTGCAGAGTGTCCAAGGGACTTGTCTGCTGCTGGGGGAGGGGCTGGTAAGAGCAGGAGCATAGGGTGGCCCCGAGCTGGCCTGAGGAGCCCACCTGCAGGCTGGGGCTTTCCCTGCACACCAAAGGCTGTGAGAAGTTGGAGAGGATTTTAGGCAAGGGAAGGACTTGACCAGAATTTGAGAGGGGTCATTCAGGTAGCTGTGGTGACATGGACCTGCGTGAACAAAACCAGAGGTGGGCATAGCAAGTTTTGCTCCGAGAGGGTAAGGCCTGGA